TAAATTTCATCAATAAAATTCATTAAAATTAGTAAACAAAGCAATAATATGTTAACACAACACCACATAGTATTGTGATCCATCATGTATGTCATCGACGTAATGAACTCGTCAAAAATGATTTGTAGCGTATCTTACTTAGTCCCTCACGGACAGATTTACAGACTTACTAAGTCCCGTACAGAAAACTCGCTAACATAGACAAATGAAATAGTCAAAAATGATTTGTAACGTATACGTATCTTACGTAGTCAAGTACGGACAGCTTGTTAACACAGACAAATGAAACCTGACGAAATAAATCTTACTTAGTCACGTGCAGACAGCTGGCTTACACAGACAAATGGAACCTGACGAAACGTATCTGACTTAGTCCCGTACAGACAGCTTGTTAACACAGATAACTGAAACCTGACGAATCGAATCTTACTTAGTCACGTCCAGACAGCTCGCTAACACAGACAAATGAAACCTGACAAAATGTATCTTACTTAGTCAAGTAACGACATCTTGCTAACACAGACAAATGAAACCTGACAAAACGTATCTGACTTAGTCACGTACAGACAGCTGGCTTACACAGACAAATGGAACTTGACGAAACGTATCTGACTTAGTCACGTACAAACTCTTGCTCACACAGATAAAAAAGGAAACCTGACGAAACGTAGCTGACTTAGTCACGTACAAACATCTTGCTCCCACAGACAAATGAAACCTGACGAAACGTAACTGACTTAGCAACGTACAAACATCTTGCTCACACAGACAAATGAAACCTGACGAAACGTAACTGACTAAGTCACACACAGACAGCTTGCTTACACAGACAAATGAAACCTGACGAAACGAAGCTGACTTAGTCACGTACAAACTCTTGCTCACACAGACAAATGAAACCTGACGAAACTTATCTGACTTAGTCACGTACAGACAGCTGGCTTACACAGACAAATGGAACCTGACGAAACGAAGCTGACTTAGTCACGTACAAACTCTTGCTCACACAGAAAAATGAAACCTGACGAAACGTATCTGACTTAGTCACGCACAAACTCTTGCTCACACAGACAAATGAAACCTGACGAAACGTATCTGACTTAGTCACGTACAAACATCTTGCCCACACAGACAAATGAAACCTGACGAAACGTAGCTGACTTAGTCACGTACAAACATCTTGCTCACACAGACAAATGAAACCTGACGAAACGTATCTGATTTAGTCACGTACAAACATCATGCTTACACAGACAAATGGAACCTGACAAAATGTATCTTATTAAGTCACGTACAGACAGGTTACTCACACAAACAAATGAAATCTGACGAAACGTTTCTGACTAAGTCACGTACAAATTCTTGCTCACACAGAAAAATGAAACCTGACGAAAAGAATTTTACTTGTCACGCACAGACAGCTTGCTTACACAGACAAATGAAACCTGACGTAACGAAGCTGACTTAGTCACGTACAAACTCTTGCTCACACAGACAAATGAAACCTGACGAAACGTATCTGACTTAGTCACGTACAGACAGCTGGCTTACACAGACAAATGGAACTTGACGAAACGAAGCTGACTTAGTCACGTACAAACTCTTGCTCACACAGACAAATTAAACCTGACGAAACGTAGCTGACTTAGTCACGTACAAACATCTTGCTCACACAGACAAATGAAACCTGACGAAACGTAACTGACTAAGTCACGCACAGACAGCTTGCTTACACAGACAAATGAAACCTGACGAAACGAAGCTGACTTAGTCACGTACAAACATCTTGCTCACACAGACAAGTGAAACCTGACGAAACGTATCTTACTTAGTCACGTACAAACATCTTGCTCACACAGACAAATGAAACCTGACGAAACGTAACTAACTAAGTCCCGTACAGACAGCTTGCTAACACAGACAAATGAAACCTGACGAAACGTATCTTACTTAGTCACGCACAGACAGCTTGCTTACACAGACAAATGAAACCTGACGAAACGTAGCTGACTTAGTCACGTACAAACATCTTGCTCACACAGACAAATGAAACCTGACGAAACGTATCTTACTTAGTCATGTACAGACAGCTTGCTAACACAGACAAATGAAACCTGACGAAACGTATCTGATTAGTCATGTACAAACTATTGCTCACACAGACAAATGAAACCTGACGACACGAATTTTACTTGTCACGTACGTATACAGACAGCTCGCTAACACAGACAAATGAAACCTGACGAAACGTACCTGACTTAGTCACGTACAACCTCTTGCTCACACAGACAAATTAAACCTGACTAAACGTATCTGACTTAGTCAGGTACAAACTCTTGCTCACACGGACAAATGAAACCTGACTAAACGAATCTTACTTAGTCACGTACAAACTCTTGCTCACACATACAAATGAAACCTGACGAACCGTATCGGACTAGGTCCCGTACAGACAGCTTGCTAACCCAGACAAATGAAACCTGAAGAAACGTATCTGACTAAGGCACGTACAAACATCTTGATTACACAGACAAATGGAACCACTTAGTCACGTGCAGACAGCTGGCTTACACAGACAAATGAAACCTGACGAAACGTATCTGACTAAGTCACGTACAGACAGCTGGCTTACACAGACAAATGGAACCTGACGAAACGTAGCTGACTTAGTCACGTACAAACATCTTGCTTACACAGACAAATGGAACCTGACGAAACGTATCTGACTTAGTCACGTACAAACATCTTGCTCATACAGACAAATGAAACCTGACAAAACGTATCTGACTTAGTCACGTACAAACTCTCGCTCACACAGACAAATGAAACCTGACGAAATGTATCTGATTAAGTCACGTACAGACAGGTTACTCGCACAAACAAATGAAACTTGACGAAACGTTTCTGACTTATTCACGTACAAACTCTTGCTCACACAGAGAAATGAAACCTGACGAAATGTATCTTATTAAGTCACGTACAGACAGGTTACTCACACAAACAAATGAAACTTGACGAAACGTTTCTGACTTAGTCACGTACAAACTCTTGCTCACACAGACAAATGAAACCTGACGACACGTATCTGACTTAGCCACGTACAAACATCTTGCTCACACAGACAAATGAAACCTGGCGAAATGTATCTTATTAAGTCACGTACAGACAGGTTACTCACACCAGCAAATGAAACTTGACGAAACGTTTCTGACTTAGTCACGTACAAACTCTTCCTCACACAGACAAATGAAACCTGACGACACGTATCTGACTTAGTCACGTACAAACTCTTGCTCACACAGACAAATTAAACCTGACGAAATGTATCTTATTAAGTCACGTACAACAAATGAAACCTGACGAAACGTATCTGACTTAGTCACGTACAAACATCTTGCTCACACAGACAAATGAAAACTGACGAAACGTATCTTACTAAGTCATGTAAAGACATCTTGCTAACACTGACAAATCAAACCTGACGAAACGTATCTGACTTAGTCACGAACAAACTCTTGCTCACTCAGACAAATCTGACGCAAACTATCTGACTTAGTCACGTACAAACTCTTGTTCAAACAGACAAATGAAACCTGACGAAACGTGTCTGACTTAGTCACGTACAAACTCTTGCTCCCACAGACAAATGAAACCTGACGAAATGTATCTTATTAAATCACGTACAGACAGGTTACTCACACAAACAAATGAAACCTGACGAAACGTATCGGACTAGGGCCCGTACAGACAGCTTGCTAACACACACAAATGAAACCTGACGAATCGAATCTTACTTAGGCACGTCCAGACAGCTCGCTAAAACAGACAAATGAAACCTGACGAAACGTAGCTGACTTAGTCACGTACAAACATCTTGCCCACACAGACAAATGAAACCTGACGAAACGTCTCTTACTTAGTCATGTACAGACAGCTTGCTAACACAGACAAATGAAACCTGACGAATCGAATCTTACTTAGGCACGTCCAGACAGCTCGCTAAAACAGACAAATGAAACCTGACGAAACGTGTCTGACTTAGTCACGTACAAACTCTTGTTCAAACAGACAAATGAAACCTGACGAAACGTATCGGACTAGGTCCCGTACAGACAGCTTGCTAACACACACAAATGAAACCTGACGAATCGAATCTTACTTAGGCACGTCCAGACAGCTCGCTAAAACAGACAAATGAAACCTGACGAAACGTGTCTGACTTAGTCACGTACAAACTCTTGCTCACTCAGACAAATCTGACGCAAACTATCTGACTTAGTCACGTACAAACTCTTGTTCAAACAGACAAATGAAACCTGACGAAACGTATCTTACTTAGTCATGTAAAGACATCTTGCTAACACTGACAAATCAAACCTGACGAAATGTATCTCACTAAGTCACGTACAGATATCTTTCTGACACAGACTATGGACAGGGGCGAATATATACAATATAATCATGTACAGTTGTACTAATACCGAAAAAATAAACAATAATGGAATAGCCATATATAACGCACGTCCAGACAGCGACATCCTTACACAGATAATGAACATGTGCGATTAAATAAAAATTCATCACGTAGAGTCGTCTCTCTAAAGATGAAAGAAAAGCACATATATGTGACTGCACTGGTACAATTTTTTGTTTTTGTAATAGGTGCAGTAAATCAAAAATTAATTACACTGCATACAGTTGATGAACACTGATAAAATACTCTTATATAAGTCACCTACAGTCAGCACTTCTTGAAACAATGATGATGTAAAAGAAAAACGATGAAAGTTCCATCCACCTTGGAATGAAACAATAGATTAGTTATGAAGGTTAGATCATCATATTCGCAAAAAAAGGACAAATGGTTTAGTCCCGAGGATATCTTATCTGGAGTAGCTATTTCGAACAACTGAAATCCTGTCTAATACTGTAACAGTTTACATTCACACATTTTGGTGATAAAAAAAAAGAAGATTAAAAAAGAAGATGATCAAACTTACCTATAGTAACCAAAATCAGCACAAGCAATATCCGAAGTGTCCCCATGTCTGTTTTGCTGTGACCGGATAGCATGCTGTGCTGTGTATCACTGCTCTGTGTGCGGTATCGGTATTAGTCTATACACTAAGGGTCGTCTTTCACAAAGGCCTTCTATTCCATTGTACAGTGTACTTGCAGGTGATTGAATCTCGATTGGTTTATATCAAGCGAGTCTTGCAATGTTTCGGTAGTTATCACTTCAACAATTGTCGACCTGTACGATATACTACTCTGATCAATTATTAACGAGCAATAACGAAAATGAATGACCGACTCGGAAAAAGTAAAAGATTACCTTCTATACTTTTGGGATTACATGAAAGCGATAGATACTGTTAACTGATCATGCCCGAGGGATAGTACCATTGCGAAACTGTTTATTCGCGTTATCGATCATATGCGGATTTTACATAAATCTTCTTGATAGCCTGAACTTACCATTTTGCAAATACAAAAACACACATGAAAACGATTGACTTCTCCAAACTGTATCCCACATTTCATTTTGCCAAACTTAGATTATGCCTTACATTTTCAGTGTGTCAATCTTTTTTTGTCTAATTCGGTCAAACATAGAAATATCTCACTGTTTAAAATGTGTGTCGTTGAACATACGAGTCTCATCGTCTTTTAAAAAGATATATTCATGTGGGACCCGGGTAAAAGTACTAGGAAAATCAGACCAAGCGTTCCAGAAGAGCAAACGTCTTCTGTTTCATCACCGACATTGGTCATTCACATCTAGGTCAAAATCATGAACGAAAAATCGCACAGTTCGTTATTTTGACCTAGATTTACATGGCCGGTATCGCAGATGAAGCCGCAGATGTTAACCTTTCCGGAACACATGGTCTGATTTCCCATGTACTTTCCCATTCTACTGTCCTACGTGAGTATTTCCTTTGTTTATGTTATGCTCTAGTTGTATCGATTTTGAGATTAAACATAGTTTTGTTGACACTTCGATATTCTCGTTTTTTCTCAATAGGAACTTATTGTTGACCACTATTTCTATCGTTTTTACATTATTGTGGAACGAAATGTTTAGATAAGACCCTTTGCGGAAAGGAGATAAACATTTTACATCTGGATGAAGTCGTGATCCTTTGTTTTGATTAATGAGTGTTTAGATAGTATTTGCACCGAACAAGGACACCACGAACTATCATTCTTTAGTACATTTTGTATGTGAACTTAGCACACAGAAATCACGGCCACCGCAACACAAATCCTACGGAAAAGGTGTTAACTTTAATTTTACGATGGCTTTTTTCCCCGCGGCATTAGTACCATTCCAGATTCTCCGGCTGACGTTATTTGTATGTCACAACTCCTGATCCTGTTGCAGTTTAAAGTTTCTCTTGATAGATTCGTCCTGTAGACAAAATTGTGGCCAGGGTGTTCTACCGGGGAAACATCAATCAACTCTGTAAAAAATGAATGCTTTAATCTTAACCAGATATTTAAAATTTGTATTGTTAATGTGTTTTTATTTTTTGTCTCTCATACACACACTTACTGGTTTGTTCACTCCATCTTATATAGTTAAGTGCTGCTCTCCCCTGCATTTTACAGGCGACTTCAGAGCGACTTTTACAGAAAACAGTACAGTCTCCAATTAACACAAGGATAGCAAACGCGCTCCACAGGATATGTTGATTCAGCTACTGCTATTCATTGCCGCAATGCACATGAAAAAAATCCATTCAATCCCTCTATATTACCATTTTTTCAAAATTTGCTAATTAATCTTTAAAAAGTAATACAGTATTTCGTTCAAATTAATATATATATGGTATAGACCTATGCTTGTCCAATAAATACAAAAACCGACTTTGCAGGGAGGGTCTGAGATACCGAAAACATATTACGTCTCAATCACGATGACGTCACTATAATATTGATACAAAGGACTTCCGCGGTGATACATTTACAGCACAGCAGAGACGTTTATATTACAGAGATTGGCAACTCACGCAGGTCTCGCAAAAACTCGCATGATCATATTGTTCAGGCAGTGAAATAAGAAACGCTGCGAGACTTGGGTTGCGGCTGCGCAATCACGCGAAATCTTGTCCAGCTGGTGACGATAGTCTGGTCAATGTGTTACCTGTGAGTTCCTCTCATCGATCCAAAAATTGACAAGAGTCTTAGGTACATTAGAATCAATAGTAATGAAATACGAGATATTTTACAGATATTGAAGCTTGGTAAGGCCTCGGGTGAGGATGGAATCGGCCACCATATGCTAAGAAACACATCAGAAACAGTTTGTGTTCCCCTTAAAATCATTTTCAATAAGTCTTTATCGTCTGGTGTTTACTCAATCTCTTGGGAAAACAGCCAAAGCTATGCCACTGTTTAAAAAGGGTGACAGGCATGCTCCCTCTAACTACAGGCCAATTTCTTTATTATCTACAGTTGGAAAAGTGTTTGAGAGGGTAATGTTCAAATACTTGCATAATTATTTCATTGAAAAATCACTTTTTTATAAGCACCAGTCTGGTTTTTCGCCTGGTCATTCTACTGTGTATCAGCTCATTGAAATTTATCATAACATCTGTGTTGCTCTAGAAGAAGAAAAAACATGTATGTATGGTATTCTGCGATATTTCTAAGGCTGTTGATAGGGTTTGGCATAAGGGTTTGATGATTAAGTTAAAATCCTATGGAACTTCAGGGGAATTGTATCATTGGTTGGAAAATTACCTATTTCAGAGGCACCAGAGAGTCTTTTTGAATACTTCTTACTCAGAGTTATGTTTCATTGAAGCAGGTGTTATGAATAGAGATCTCGAGTATCTTAATGCATGGTCCCAAACTTGGTTTGTAACATTTAATCCAGAAAAAAATGAGGTAATTTTTGTTTCAAACTTGGTTGAAATTGATGAAGATTTACAATTAGAATTTAATGGCGAATTTTTAAATTTTACTGATCATCATAAACATTTAGGTGTAATTTTTAATTCAAGTGCAAAATGGAGGGATCATATTTGTGCAATATATACTTCAGTTATGAAAAAGTTCAACGTCTTACGTAGCCTAAAATACTTATTAAATCGTGATAATCTTTTAAAGATTTATTAATCATTTATTTTACCAGTTTAAGAATATGCTTGTGAATTGTGGGATGGTTGTGCAACTTATGAAACAGAAATGTTAGAGAAAGCTCTAAAAACTCGTTAACATCAAAAGTACAATCTCCTCCGTCAATCTACTTAGGTTTCGGTGAACGTAAATTGAACATTTTGCACACTAAACTTAGACATCAGTGTAGTCCACTTAAATATGATCTTTTTAGAGTAAATCTGGTTGATAGTCCAGTTTGTTATTGTGGCCATCCCTGTGAAAATGCCTTTCACTGTTTTTATGAGTGCTTACTTTATAACAACGAAAGACATACCCTGCTCCAAAATTTGATGTTAATTTTAATTTAGATCTACTTTTGTTTGGTAATAGTCAACTTTCGGTAAAAAAAAAACAAAAAAAAACAGCATAAGTATCTTCAGACATGTGCGTCATTACATCAAATCCAGCAATAGGTTTTGATAGTTATAATTACTTTTCTATTTTTGTTTATGTGTATACGTTGTTATATGTGTTTATGAAATTGTATTTCATTATTTTGCCTGATTTCTTTGTTACATTGATTCTGTTCATTTTGAAATTACTCTACCAGGTTGCATGTCATGAAATTTGTATAATATATAATTTATTCAAATGCGGATCGATTTCTCAGTTTACACGTTTACTTTTCTAGGTAACACCCCTCCCCTCCATCACCCCCACCCCCTCACTACCCACACTTCCTTCTCCACCATATTTTTTTCCCTTTCCCCAACAACATATACACTATTTTTACCATATATTTATTGTGGAGAGGACTCTATTAGTTGTAATAACTTGTTGTCCAATCCATTTGTATATTTGTACAATATGTTTAAACTAACTAAACACGATCGATTTCTCACAGGTAACACATTAACCAGACTATCGTTACCAGCTAGACAAGATTCCGCGTGATTGCGCAGCCGCAATCCAAGTATCGCAGCGTTTCTTATTTCACTGCCTGAACAATGTGATCATGCGTGTTTTTGCGAGACCTGCGTGAGTTACCAATCTATGTAATATAAACGTCTCTGCTGTGCTGTAAATGTATCACCGCGGAAGTCCTTTGTATCAATATTATAGTGACGTCATCGTGATTGAGACGTAATATGTTTTCGGTATCTCGGTTTTTGTATTTATTGAACAAGCATAGACCTATACCATATATATATATATATATATATATATATTAATTTGAACGAAATACTGTATTATTTTTTAAAGATTAATTAACACATTCTGAAAAAATGGTAATATATAGAGATTGAATGGAGTTTTTCCATGTACATTGCGGCAATGAATAGCAGTAGCCGAATCTACATATTCTGTTGAGCGCGTTAGCGCTCCTCAGAAGATATGTAGATCAGCTACTGCCATTCATTGCCGTGAAATAATCTATTCAATTCATATATTTACGTAACGATGAACTAAAAAAAAATTACCACACTTTTTGTAAATTTGATATTTTTGTTTATATAAGTATCGGACAGTAACCATAAAAACGGAACAGCCGGAACTCCAGGCAGCCTACACACAAACTTCAAAAGTTCGACTTCTGTTTCTTCCGCCGGTCAGCTGATTTTGTTAAAAAGAAAGAAAAAAATCTAGAATCTAATAATAATCAACACTTAATATTCCTTCCTGTTTCATTTTTTACAGTTGATCTTATTGGATATTGTTTTGTTTTACATTATGAACACCGCATATAACGTATTAAAAAAAATCATGTCCGCACTATTTCAAATCATCAGTCACCATAGTAACCATCCAGGTCACTCGTCGGCCGAGCACCCGTCGGCAGTAGGCACAGAGCTCATTTGAAGTTTT